GTGTATAAGGACCGAGACATATACCTGTGTGTATAAGGACCGAGACATATACCTGTGTGTATAAGGACCGAGACACATACCTGTGTGTATAAAGACCGAGACATATACCTGTGTGTATATGCACCGAGACATATACCTGTGTGTATAAGGACCGAGACACATACCTGTGTGTATAAGGACCGAGACATATACCTGTGTGTATAAGGACCGAGACATATACCTGTGTGTATAAGGACCAAGACTTATACCTGTGTGTATAAGGACCGAGACATATACCTGTGTGTATAAGGACCGAGACATATACCTGTGTGTATAAGGACCGAGACATATACCTGTGTGTGTAAGGACCGAGACATATACCTGTGTGTATAAGGACCGAGACACATACCTGTGTGTATAAGGACCGAGACATATACCTGTGTGTATAAGGACCGAGACATATACCTGTGTGTATAAGGACCGAGACATATACCTGTGTGTATAAGGACCGAGACATATACCTGTGTGTATAAGGACCGAGACATATACCTGTGTGTATAAGGACCGAGACATATACCTGTGTGTATAAGGACCGAGACATATACCTGTGTGTATATCCCACCGAGACATATACCTGTGTGTAATGCACCGAGACATATACCTGTGTGTATAAGGACCGAGACATATACCTGTGTGTATAAGGACCGAGACATATACCTGTGTGTATATGCACCGAGACATATACCTGTGTGTATAAGGACCGAGACATATACCTGTGTGTATATGCACCGAGACATATACCTGTGTGTATAAGGACCGAGACATATACCTGTGTGTATATGTACCGAGACATATACCTGTGTGTATAAGGACCGAGACATATACCTGTGTGTATATGCACCGAGACATATACCTGTGTGTATAAGGACCGAGACATATACCTGTGTGTATAAGGACCGAGACATATACCTGTGTGTATAAGGACCGAGACATATACCTGTGTGTATAAGGACCGAGACATATACCTGTGTGTAAAATGCACCGAGACATATACCTGTGTGTATAAGGACCGAGACATATACCTGTGTGTATATGTACCGAGACATATACCTGTGTGTATATGCACGGAGATATCTCCCCTCATTCTACGCCTCTCCAGAGAGTGGAGATTTAAGGCTTTAAGTCTATCTTCATACGGGAGGTTCCTTACACAGTAAATCATTTTAGTCATTCTTCTCTGTATGTTCTCTAATGAGTCTATGTCCATCCTGTAGTAAGGGGACCAAAACTGAGCAGCATAATCTAAATGAGGCCTCACTAGTGATGTATAGAGCTGTAAAATAACTTTTGGACTTCTGTTACTTATACTTCTTGAGATAAATCCAAGTAATCTGTTGGCCTTGTTGCGCACACTAAGGCACTGCTGTCTTGGCTTTAGATTTCTGCTTACCATGACTCCCAAGTCTTTTTCACATTCTGTATGACCAAGCTCTACTTCACCTAGATTATAGCTTCGAGGGTTATTTTCATTACCAAGGGCAAGTGTACATTAAATTCCTCCCTCAACAGCTCGATCGGTGAGACACCTCATTTTTCTTTGTATGGCTATGACAAGCGCTTACCATATGAAATTCTGTTTGCTCCACCTAGACCTACTTACGACACTGATAACCCCAGTGTAGTAAAGATGAGGACAACACAGCTTGTCTTCCAGCGGGTACGAGAGAACCTTATGAAAGCTACTGATAGGTTCACGTCTGAGCGCAATGCCCGCACCAAGGAAAGCAAAGTGGAACCAGGTTGCAAAGTTATGTTGCTCAACCCAGTGCAGACCCCAGGTATGCACAAACTTGTCCCAAAGTTTGTGGGTCCTTACCGTGTCCTACGACAGCTCCGTGGCAATAAGTTCGAGGTGAGGGAGATTGCTACGGGAACTATCAAGGAAGCCCACCTTGATCAGATGAAGTATGTGGACCATATGCAGGCTGAAGCAGAGCTGGAGGCGCGTGCGTTGCAACGCCACAATCAGACTAATGCTAGGGACAACCCGTCTATCCCTTCTCCCACTACTACTGGTACGGAAGACGGCCCAGTAAGGCTCCATACTTATGGCCTGCGACCCAGGACAACAGTACATTTCTGTGACATTGACGTACCTACTGACTTGTCCGACTCCTACGCTAGTTATGCTAATTGTTTGCTTGCAGAAATGGGTATAAATGCACACACATTGTATAGCTAGTCGATAATGGAGTCAGGGTGGACAACATCATGTAATTATGTAAATACTTTTAGAAGGGTACCCAGAGTGTAATAAATTCCATGGATGTAGTATTATTGTAGGTATGTGCACCCAGTATTTTTATAACAAAAAAAAAAAAAGCCTGTATTACGGTCAGGGCAGTGCTGCCCTCTGAGTCACATGTCACACCTTAGGAAATGCTACTGTTAGTCATTGTTTGCAGATGTGAGGGTGCAACAACATTCGTAGACGAGTGGTCAACTGATGTTCAGCCCTGCGGACAACCTGTATATAGATTTTAGTTCCAGTGCTGACGTCTCCAGACTCTCTCCTCGATGAAACAGCATCGCGGGCAAACCAGTTTTCTCTTCCCCTGGTTGGGTTTTTTTTTTTTGCCTGTTGCATTTTTATGTCCATTTTTTGTTTACTAATGAGCGAAAGCCAGTCCCTCTCTGGGGCAGCTAGTGTACGTAATTCCTTTATACCTACGGGCCCACCAGTATTGTCGCGTCGGGACGACGCGAGGTGCGTGGCCGAGCAAATGTAGACAGCCTGTACTGTCAGAACACACAGCCTAGCCGTCTGCTCTGACTAGTTCATATTTCGCGGCATTTAGGTGCTGCCCTCTGTAGGCTCACCCAGGTCAGTGGGAGGCTCAGCCCAGCGGCTCTCACTCCTAGGCCGACCGACTTGATAGAAACAAGTGCTCCCCCTCCACGGACTGGCTTGCGGTCACTCCCTCACACTGCCCGTTGTGTACTCACTCCTATCCAATTAAAGCCAAACTAGTCCACGGCCGTATCATTGCTACCTACGCTACCTTCATCGGCACCAAACCGCTGTTCAGCAGCAAGAACAGCAATAACAAATTACTGTAAACTTTTTTAAAATATATTTAGTTGGATTAGGCTAAATTAAATTGCGCTTGTTATAATAAGGTTAAGTAAGTTTTCTAAGGTTCTTTTGGTAAAAAATTATTAACTTTTACATCAACAAATTAAAAAATATATCTTTAAACGTGTAAGAGAAAATTTTAGAAAGGACTTAATTTTAAATGAGTTCTTGCTAACTGACCAGTTTTACCTATTCAGCACGACATTATATATATATATATATATATATATATATATATATATATATATATATATATATATATATATATATATGCAATAGATCACAGTAAATAGGTGATTTCAGAATATGCAAAACAACCACTGTGAAAGAATAGAGAAATTCCAAGCGCTTTCGTGACTACCCCACATTATCAAGGAACATTTGTTCCTTGATAATGTGAGTAGTCACGAAAGCGCTTGGAATTTCTCTATTCTTTCACAGTGGTTGTTTTGCATATATGTATACGTATCCACACACACACACACACACACACACACACACACACACACACACACACACACCTCTCGGTGTCTATATATAGATATATACACCTGGTGTCTAGATACAGATATACACACCTGGTGTATATTTTAGTTCCTGCAACTGACAAGTGGAAGATCTGAGGGATATACAGACCTGCATGTCCTGGAGGCAACAGCAACAGCAACAGCAGCAGCAGCAGCAGCAGCAGCATAATACAGCAGCAGCAGTAGCAGCAGCAGACAGACAGACAGAGCGGGGCCAGCATGCTGTGGGTTCCCTTCGTCCTAGTAAGCTAATTAACATGCTGGTTAGTGGCGCTCAGAGTCTAGTTAGGAAGCTTTCTAAGCAAGGTTAACATCACCTGAGGTCAGCTTAGGAGAGTGCCTACTGTGTGGGTTAATTCCCTGTTCCTTTCAAGCTTTCTAACCCCAAGCTTAAACTAACCGTTTGACTAGTGGAGGGATCAGGAAGGCTAGTAGAGGGATCAGGAAGGCTAGTAGAGGGATCAGTAAGACTAGCAGAGGGATCAGTAAGACTAGGAGAGAGATCAGGGAGGCTAGTAGAGGGATCAGTAAGGCTAGTAGAGGGATCAGGAAGGCTAGTAGAGGGATCAGGAAGGCTAGTAGAGGGATCAGGAAGGCTAGTAGAGGGATCAGGAAGGCTAGTAGAGGGATCAGGAAGGCTAGTAGAGGGATCAGGAAGGCTAGTAGAGGGATCAGGAAGGCTAGTAGAGGGATCAGGAAGGCTAGTAAAGGTATTAGAAAACTAGTAAAGGGATCAGGAAGACTAGTAGAAGGCTCAGGAAGACTAATGACTAGTAGTAGGAGTAGGAAGACGGAAGATTAGGGATGAGACAGGAGATTAGATAAAGGGAGAAGATACAAAAGGAAATGGAGAGAGAGACAAAGATACAAAGCCAGAAACAGAAACACAGAAACACAGGGAGAGAGAGAGAGAGAGGAGAGAGAGAGAGAGAGAGAGAGAGAGAGAGAGAGAGAGAGAGAGAGAGAGAGAGAGAGAGAGAGAGAGAGAGCCGGTAGTGTCACTACACCCCCCTCCCTTCCCTGCTCCCGAGCTAGGGAACTCAACAAGTGCCAGCGTCCGGTCGCTTGGCACGTCCCCCACCCACTCCTCTCCCCCACCTCAACCCCAGTAGCACCCCCTGCCTTATCACAGGTATACTAATCCTCTCCCTCCCATCTCCCCCCTCCTTCTCTCATGGGCCTCTAGTCTCCACTGCTCTTAAGAACCTAAACTCTCAGTTAGAACTTAAAAAAAAACTAACTAGTATTAGTGTTAGCAACTAGCAATAGTTGCTAACCAGAAAACCAAAGAAAACCAAGCTAGAATCTAGGATAGTGCCTAAGGCGTCAGTCACAAACAAGGAGGGAAGATCATTTACCATGTCGGGAGCGTCTCTCCGTCTCTGCAAAAAGAAATGTGGTTTTAGAGACATGAAAAACCTGGTGTGTGCGTGTGTTTGTGTATGTTGGGATGTGAGGGGGGGGGGAAGGTTACTCCTGCTCCTAATACCCCCCTTCCTGTTCCTGCTACTGCTGTTGTTTCTGCTGCTGCTGCTGCTGCTGCTACTGGTGCTAATGACTGTTGTTGCTGCTACCGCTGCTGCTGCTGTCATGTGAATACAATATTATCTATACACCGGGAGGTGTATAGATGACCTCTGTACACACGTACACACACACACACACACACACACACACACACACACACACACACACACACACACACACACACACACACACACACACACACACACGAAAAAGTTTGCGTCAAACTCTAAGAGATTAAGGTATATTTGACTGGTGGTGTACAGGTGCTACGTAGCCTTAATGAGCCTCGTGCAGGTGCCACACTTGAACCCTGACAAACAAACAAACCAGCCATGTAAGAAGCTACAGCTGACATAAATTATATTTAGTGCAAAGAGAAGTTATTTTAGATAGTTGAGTCACATCTTACTTACCTTGCCAGCACACTGTGACTGTGACCTCACTGTGACGGTGTAACCTCACTGTGACGGTATAACCTCACTGTGACGGTGTGACTTCCCTGAAGACTATCACCACCACTGCACCCATCACCTCTGATACACTTTTGAAGGGTTTCGAGAGTCTTCTTACTTATGCAGCCCTGTCCTGGGCCAGATTTCAGTGCTGGCCTGGTCAACCAGGCTGTTGCTGCTGGTGGCTCGCTAGCTCCAGATATCCATCATAGTCTAGATGATGCGCCATTTCGTAGAGGTACGTCACCGGTTTCCACTTGTCTGAACAGTGTTTCTGATATCTTCTGGGGCCACGTATGCTGATATAATGTTCTCTTATTGTTCCCACTGCGCCTCTGCTTTTCACTGAGTTCATTTTACACATACTCCTATATTTCTCACTTCAGTGTGTTTTTATGGGACCAGACCCTTAAGTAATTTCTACGTATATATTATTCTCTCTCTCTCTCTCTCTCTCTCTCTCTCTCTCTCTCTCTCTCTCTCTCCCTCCCCCTCTCTCTCTCCCTCCCCCTCTCTCTCTCTCTCTCCCTCCCCTTCTCTCTCTTTCACCGTCCCCTTTCTTCTTCTCCTCCCGCCTCTTCTCTCTATCTCTCTTTCCGCTCAAGCGATTACGTATTTAGAACTTTAAGGCGTTCCCAGTAATTTCAAGGCTTTAATGGCTCTATGCGGCCGTAAAATATCTCTGCATCTGAGAGTAAGACACATGTGCAACATCTGGGTATCTTTATTGTAGACGTTTCGCCATCCAGTGGCTTTATCAATACAAATTCTAGGACATAACATGAAGACAGTAGAACTATGTACAGAAGATGAGGTAATCAGTCCCTCAACCTAGGAGTAGGTGCGAACAGCACCATAGTCGTGGAGATTCTGAAGCAGAAGAAAGAATCCTGGCGCTTATATAGTAACGTCAGGTGTAGCAGACGAGGGCAAATTCACTGGTAGGTGGGATTCCCCAGTGGAAGTAGGTCCTTCCCAAAGAGATGGGTTAGTTGTAGAGGTAGTTGTCGTAGTCGTGAAGGTTATGTACATGTCCTCAGAATTAAGATTCCATGATGTTGCAGTGTCTGACAAGTTGTGTACGAAATGGTATATAATACCGACAAGATGAGAGTAAGACACATGTGCAACATCTGGGTATCTTAAGATACCCAGAATCCCACCTACCAGTGAATTTGCCCTCGTCTGCTACACCTGACGTTACTATATAAGCGCCAGGATTCTTTCTTCTGCTTCAGAATCTCCACGACTATGGTGCTGTTCGCACCTACTCCTAGGTTGAGGGACTGATTACCTCATCTTCTGTACATAGTTCTACTGTCTTCATGTTATGTCCTAGAATTTGTATTGATAAAGCCACTGGATGGCGAAACGTCTACAATAAAGATACCCAGATGTTGCACATGTGTCTTACTCTCATCTTGTCGGTATTATATACTATTTCGTACACATCTCTGCATCTGTTCCAGCCCTGAACGGAGCCGTCAGCGATACCCTAAAGAAGAGAGATGACAATATTACACCCAGGTCCTTCGCATGTTCCCTTCATTCTGTTTGGTAATCCTCTTGCGTTGTATACACCCACCACAAACCCCCCTCCTCCATGACACCCCGTACTATTATGACTCCCACGATTACCACCCCACTATCACTACCTTAATACCCCAACAGTGTCACCAATGTGATCTCCCCTCCAATTATCAGTATACACTCACATATCACCAACCACCACATATCACGTGCAAGAAATATTTGCTAAAGGAATAACTGGAAAAGTGTGCAGATAAATATTCAACTTTTTAAGAAACAGAACACAAAGGATAATAGTAAACAGAGTTAGGTCAGAGGCTGCCACAGTGAATCACATTGTTCCACAAGGTGCAGTACTTACCCCCATCCTTTTCCTCCTTATTTCTAACAAACAGGGACATAGCACTGTGTCCTTTGCAGACATTACGAGAATATGCATGAGTGTCATCCACCGAGATCACTGAATCTCCAGTCTTTCACTGGGCCGCAGAAAACAATATATTGTTAAATGAGGACAAATTTCAAACACAATGTTATAGAAAAATTAGAAAATAAAAGCTACAACTTAGTATAAAACTAATTCTACCCACTCAATAGGGAAAAATTAACGTGAAGGACTTAATAATTACATTATCAGTGGATCTCACCTTCAAGGATCACAACAGTGTCATCACAAGTGCTCCTCTTAGTCTTCCACTAACTCCACTACTAATACTAATAATTTCCTACTACATCTTTGGTCCCGTCCCTGTCTGTTGGTCTATATATACACTCTCCTCCTCAACTTTCCGTCGTCGCAAGCTCCTCTCTCCTATGTGTGGGTTATTTGTATATAAGATGGATAATGAGACCTTCAAAAACAAGGGATACCAAGGCAATGATGATTCTCTTTACGTCACTTGTTCTCTCTAGGCTGGGATAATGCTGAACACTAACAGTCCCAAGTGAAATTTCAGATCTAAAGAATGTACAGAACTTTCACTGCACGTATAAGTTCGGCTAATCACTGGAACACAGGCGAAAAAGATACATTATAATTTACACCTGGAAAATCCTAGAGGAATTGGTCCCAGATCTTCACACACAAATCACTCCCTACGAAAATAAAATCTCGGCACACGATACAACATGCCCACAGTGAAGGGCAGAGATGCCAGGAGTACACTGGCAACACACAAGGCGGCCTAAGACTAGTCAAGAGCCTCCCATCACACATAACAGAGATTACCAACAGAACACTTGCTGTTTACAAGAGAAAACGAGACAGGTTCCTAAAGTCAATTCCTGGCCATCAAGGAACTGACTTTAGGAACCTGCGTTCGTACGTTGAATTCCAATGTACGAACACAGCTTTACTCGAGGCTTTATTAGTACGTTTCGCGCACGGGTAGCCTTCAATAATACAATGTTTCATCTACGGAGGTTTTATTGGGACGTTTCGCCCACGGGTAGTCTTAATTCTTGCAATGAAGAAAGGTTGCATACAGGCATCCCTGCATTTACCTTTGATGAACTAGTTGCGAGTCTTTCTGCCCCCGGAGCCCAGCTATGGGCCAGGCTCGTCTGGTGCTAGTGCCCCACATATCCATCACAGCCTGGTTGATCTTAGTACCATGCCTTGCGTCCCATGACCCACCATAAGTTCCACATTCCATGTTAAAAAAAAATAGTCACAGTTGGTTTATTACAGCCGCCGGACCTGCCAGTCTTCCTGTATCTTAACATCAACACAAGTCCTTCAGAATGTTGAGAGAGAATAGACAACATGACCACACAAAACACACACACACACACACACACACACACACACACACACACACACACACACACACACACACACACACACACACACACACACACACACATTTCTCCTCCACCACGATGCTGTGAACACTAACTCCAAGGCCGAGGGACTGATTACCTCATCTTTTGTATATAGTTCTACTGTCTTCCTATTATGTCCTAGAATCTGTATTGATAAAGCCACTGGATGGCGAAACGTCTACTACAATAAAGATATCCAGATGTTGCACATGTGTCTTAACTTTCATATTGTCGGTATTTTATACCTTTCTTGCACAATCTGTGATAAGAGTGGTGAGGCCTCAAACTGTACTGATTTCATGGAAGCATCACCTACAGAGCCCAGTATAACGTGGACCTAGAGCTGGAAGATCGTGTTCGTCACAATTCTTATAAGACTATAAGGAAGACTCTGGATGACAATAAAGATGTGGTGTAGGGTAGGTGACACTTTGTTGAGGGAGTGACTCACTATACAGTGAGGTCAGTAGGTATGACAGGATTAGGTAAGCAAATGGATCATCAAGAAAGATTTCCAAATGTTGCATAAGTGTCTCATTCTTCAACTTATCTTTTTTTTTTCTAAACCACTGCATCAAATCAATTATCTAACAAAAGTAAGTGCTCTTCACCTGCTCCTAGGCTGAGGGACCGATTACCTTATCTTCCACTATTTGCTGTATATATTTCTATTATATCCATGTATTGTACTGATAACGCCAATGGATGGTAAAAGTTCTACAAGTACAGATATCTAGATGTTGCACATGTGTCTAGTTCATCACATAGGACTGATGAAGCCACTCGTAACGAAATGTTATTTAACAAATGTCCCAAACTGTACACAAATGCCCTCTCCCACAATTTCTAGGTATCACCAGACCATTTACAACCCAGTGGTACCTTGACTCTGTACTGAGGTGATGGAAACATTATCAACGGTAGAGGAAGGAATGGGATTAGTGAGGAGTGAAGGGCAGACGACCATGATTACATTAAATTTTGTGGAAGAAGTGGCTGGTTTATTGTGCACACCATATCCATCCTGTGGATGGTAGTGGCTGGTTTATTGTGCACACCATATCCATCCTGTGGACGGTAGTGGCTGGTTTATTGTGCACACCATATCCATCCTGTGGACGGTAGTGGCTGGTTTATTGTGCACACCATATCCATCCTGTGGACGGTAGTGGCTGGTTTATTGTGCAC